ATAGTCCTCATGGGTGTAAATTGATTGAGAGGAGTAATTTTAGTATAATTTTCTGCATCCTGCTGTTTTTTACTTTTGCAGAGCTGGCAAAGACAAAACGAAGGATTTTTCCTGTATATTCTGATGGGAGACTTTGAAACTTAATACCCAGAAAGGTGTATGTTGCTAAAGCCAGTTGTTATTCATTTGCATCTGTTAACACATCAGGAAAAAGCTACCTTTGTTCTGGGCAGTTATGAAAGCAGGGGTCTCGGAGTATGCTTGAAGGGGTCACTTTCATTCTTGTGAGGCATGGGGTTATTTTGTTGTTGGAGGACAAGCCTTAGCTTAGGCAACTGTTGGCATTCTGACTTTTGCTGAGCCTGTAATATTACTGTGAAAATTTCTCTAGATAGTCTGTTTCAAACACCAGTGTGCTCTGCTCACTCATTTTCCATGCAGGCAGATCCTTTTAATTATGACAAAAGAAGTAAAATTCTTAAGTTTTCTAGTTCTAAGAAAAAGATTGCTTTGCAGGAGTTGATGACTAAGTGATAACAAGTTATCTGCTAATTATTGTGTACTGCTCTATCCTCTTATGTATGATGGAGAGGAGGACTTAGGAGGAGGAGGAGGCAGCTGTTGATTTTCCATGAACTGTTGTGACTTTTGGCTTTCTCATTTTTTATTTCTGTTTTCTCAAGTGCTAAAGGGAATCTAGGACATGGAAAATACATGGGAGCTTGATGAGTCTTCTCCTTGGCTCTGGACTTCTAAAGTTTATGAACAATTTGCTCAATAAACATTTCTGCTGCAGTTTAATACCTCTTAATTCTGCAGTATTTTCATGGTTAAGATTGAGATACGACGTTGGCATTGGAAAAATACCTGGGATTAGTCTGTGCATGAGAGATTCCCTGTACACCTGTGGGCCCGAGGACACTATTTCCAGTATGAGGTGGTGGTGGAGGGGGCCACCAGTTTGACTTTTATGGGCTCAGTGCCAGAGCAGTCAGGTGTGCAGTAGTAGAACAGTAGTAGAAGGTTGAATGCACCCCCTCCTTCTGCTCTTCATGAACTGCCCCTGGACCGCAGATGCCTAAAAATGAATCTCTTCTGTCAGGTGTGTTCCCTTCATCACTTGTATGTGGGGCCCTCCCACCCTGTCTCTGTATTTCCTTTTCCTATAAGATTTTTGAAGAATTTGAGTTGATAGGTAGAGTGCCTGTGTGCAAGGATATCAGACTTGATATCAGAACACTAGGATTTATTATGTTGAAGCAACCTAAACAACTCTGAACTGAAAAGACATGCCAACAGTTCAGGTTGCTATTTACTATTAGCATATTCTGCATCTTGATTCCTAATGTATGCTAACTCTTTAAAGTATTCTTAATGAAGCACTTAGTTTGATTTGTTTTCTTCAGCTTTCTCTATTGAATATTTAGCTACCAAGGGAAAATTCATCAGATGCAGAATCATGTATAAGTGCTTTGATGTGTTCTATTGTTTTGGTTATGCTGTGTTTTCACTCGTTTAGAAGAAATGATTGAAAATCAGGGTAAGAAAAATTTGAAGTTGGAAGTGGGGTGAATGTTTTCAAATGAGAATTAATCTGTTCCCATAGTTAACTGAAATTTTGTTAATCATAGGGCATGAAGAAGTCTTAAGCCAGAATATTTGTAGAGATTAACTCTGTCTGGCTCAATAGCAGATGACTCCAACACTGAGCTCAGGTATCAGAGTGGAACTAGCCAGTGTGTGTGTGAGGCCAAGACTTCATGCTTATGGTGACTCTGGACTTTGCTCTTATGTTCACAGATCACTGTCAAGTACTGACTGCTTTGCTGCTCAAATTCAGAGGAACATCTGCAACTGCTGCAAGTCTTCTCTTTAGACGTGTTGGGGTCCAAAAACATTCTGACTAAACTGGGCATTAACTCTTCTGAAAAATACATGTATTTCAAATCCCATACATAGTGGGTTTTGTTCCTGTTCTCTAAAGTTGAAACTCTGGGCATTTTTCATTCCTTCTGGTAAACAATTACCAAATGCCTAAAACAGTATTTTATACTTGGTACCCAGAGTTTTTCTTCCTGAATAACCAAAAAAAAGTAATTGACTACTTGAATAAACATTTAGATGTAGATTCAAAGGTGTTCCTATTGTTTCAATCACCATTGTCCTATTTGCTTATCAATGCTTGATAAAAGCATATCTGAGCTTGGAGTGAGGTGGTGACAGGTGGATTTGGGTGAGAGATCCTGAGATGGCTGAAAATTCCTGATGCCTTCAAGCAACCACTTAATGCCTCAGACATTTTATAAAGGAAGCTCCAACTTGGGAGAATTAATTAGCCCTCCAAGGCAAATCTTGTGTAGTATAACTAAAAGGATACCTGGTGAAAGAGCATGTTGTTTTAATATATCCTATTAATAGCATAGTAGGGAGAGCTTAATCAGGCTTGTGCCTGGGTTCTTAGCAAAGAGCTCTGTGGCTGAATGATGAGCCATATGTGAGGGGTTGGTATGTTCATGGAGCAGAAAAAGATCAGTGATGATTTGTCCTGGAGTGTCTGCCAAGATACACCTAGCAGGGTTCCTTAAAGCTGTTGAAAATGGACTAAATTCTTTCAGACTGTTCACTATCTTGCTGCCATCTTGCAGGAACTGCAGAATGAAGTGCTTTGGGAGTTGGATGCTAGTTCAGCTTGGGTTTTGTATCACTTTACTCTTGGGCCTGGGAGGGTATGGCATGCATGAGTAAACAGAGTTCTTTAATGTTTTTGTGGGGATGACCTAAGAAGTAAAGGATGGAAATGAAAATTTGTTTTGAAAAAGATGGGGAAGGTAAAGGAGCTAGGTAAGGAAGCAGATACTACTGAAGAAGTGGGGACCACGTGTCTGAAGTGACAAAAGTTCTTTGTGAATGTACTGGCACTGGAGCAGCTGCTCTTACCTTTTCCAAAAAGGGCTGATGCCTGCCAGAAGCTGCAAATTTAAGTGAGCATTTCAAAGTTCCTTTCCCAGTGCAAGGCTGCAGAGGTTAAAACCAGTTTAAGAACTGTGGCTCATAGTTATGGCCCCATTTATCTATTCTTTTGATGCCTAATAAACATGTTGGCTTGGTTGTTTTCCCACTTATTACTACTGTAACCATGGTTACTGGGAAGACAAGCTGTGTACTCTGAGCCTTAATTATTGCCTGTGCCATGGTAGAACCTGATGCTGGATTGGAAGTCTAAAATCTTACTGGTACAGATGATGCAGATTATTATAGGCAGGTAGGGGAAGGAAGAAGTTTCATGGTGGTAGTGGACTGTGGTGCTCCTGACTAAGAAGGAGCCAGCAGTTAAATAATTCACTGTGGTCTAACAGAATTTAGTTTTGTTCCATCTATTTGCCTTTAGTTTGCAATATGGAGTTAATGAGTGAGATGAAGAAGGTGAAAAATAAATTTATCTCAGAACATGCATTGAGATCAGATAGTATGAGCAGTAAGCAAAGCTTTCCAACTTTTAATAAATATCCTTGGCTACTGGGGGATTGGCTTGCTCTTGACTTTGTATTTGAAGAAAAGTAAATACTCTGTCAGTTACTTCAGTCTGTCTGGTTGAAACATTCAGGGGAAATTCAAGTCTGGGGTTTATAGTTGGGCAAACGTAAGTTTCAAGTCACCATATTTTTAGTTTAGCCTACTATGGAGTTGGATAGAGATGACTGATTGATGAACTTTGATTCATTTGGTATGGGTTTTTTTTCAGTCCTTTGTAGCTTGTATAACTCCATTTTATCCTGGAAACTGTTGCTGATTGTCTGCAGGCTACCTTTACTGGTTTCCAGTGTTTATGCATTTTGGGAGCAGGGGTAAAACAAAATAAGTACCTTGGGAATAACTCTTTAAGAAAGTCACAATGGGGAAGATTGTGTCTGTGCTGAAGCATTTGGTTGTAAACTGTGCCTCCATACTGCGTCTGTGTCAGGTGATTTCTCTGGTAGAGATACTAAATCCTTGTTGCATTGTTGCCGTATTGGATGACCATACTGGCATAGTTTTGTGAAGCAGAAGTGATGCTACTTGCCTTACAAGGACAGCCTGTAGATTAATGTTTTATTAGGTTTCTTCACTGACATTACTGTGATAGTCTTTCCAGTTTTTTTCCTGTTCTGCTAAGTTCAGTTTTAGGAGCATCCTTCACTAATTGTGGATTTGTTAACTCCAAAATAAATGGGAAAAACTTGCATCTTGTTTTTGAGACACTTGTTTGAAGAAATGAAAATGGTTCATTAAAGCTATGTTGTGGGTAACAATAACCCCCCAGAATGTACAGCAAACTTGAAACATATGAACTTGGCATATTCTGACTGAAGAAATACCTTTATGGACAAATTATCAGCTTGCTTTTGAAGGTAGTTGTACCAGAGTAATGTCAGTTATTTCCAAGTGAGTTTTTGTGTGCTCTTCTGAGGCATCTTTTCCATTTATCATGAATTTTTCAACTGGGGACTTGCTCTGGCCTGGATATTAGAAAAAAGGATGTTTGTGGAGGGGTAGAGTGGATACGTTAGCCTTCAATACCCTTGTAATTATCCAGTATTACAGCTTAACGTTTTTTGAGGTTTCTCGTCAGTGCTGTGTTTTTTTGGGGGGATTACTGTTTGTGTGTGAAGTGATTCTAAAAGTAATTGTGTGCATAAAGACTTGTGTGGATTGTGATACAGTATATGATCAATAATAGCCATAATAAAAATGCTCTCATTAAATCCATAGTAGATAGCCATTTTTGCTCAGGTGTGAAAACTGATTTAAAAGAAAGTTGTTTGGATACCCATGCACTGAGAAATATCTCTGGGGAGATGAGAATGGGCAGAAGAGAAGATATGTGAAAGAGTGTTGAAATGGTGCTTAAAGAAAAATTAATCCTGGGTGCCAGGAAGAACTTTCCATCCTCTAAAAAAAGGCAGAAGTCACCTGAGTGGAGAATCCTCATTGATTATTTTTTTTCTCTCTTAATCTTGCAGTTGATTGTAATGCCGTTCTTAAAGCTCTACAGCCCATTTTTCAGGAGCAGGGAATGACAGAAACAGTTCATAACTGGGAAGACCATGGTTATTTAGTAACCTACATCAAAAAAAATGGCAGGTGAGTGGATTTTCTTTTTATTACGCCTCTACTGTCCTTCTTTAAAATATTTATTTCTCCCTCTATCGGACCCCCTGTAGTGTTGACAGGGCAAGCTGTCTTATGTTTTTATCAGCCTTGTGTATGAAATAGCTATGATAAAGCAGAATATTGTTTCTAATCTGGACTATGTCATCTTGCAGTTTGAATCTCAGGAGCTTGAACTGCTCAGTCTGATCAGTACCCTAGAATGGTGCCTTGGTTTCAGCACTAGTCGTTCCAGATGCAGGACAGCTCAAGTCAGTTCAATGTATTTGTAATTTTTCTGACCATTAAATATGTCTAAATATGTTGGAGTCTAACCTTAGCATGTGAACAATGACAGCTTTGTGTCTGTCTGTATTTACATGCCGTTATATGCTTCAAATTCTCAAGCAGCTTCTGAAGTAATTAACAGCATGATAAGGGATGGTTGGTGTCATTAGTGACATAAAAGCTGGGTCTGCTGGGACAAATGGATAAGGAAAACTACATTCCCTTTATTTCCCGATGCTGCCTCACAGTGTGAGGGTTAGTTGATTATGGTATACATTAATCTGGTCTATTTATAAGTAACTACCATGATTTTATTGCACTTATTTTCTTATAGTTATTTAGTTACCTGTTCTTGATGTACATGTGGCAGTTGCTGCTTTGTGGTTGCCTGTTTTTTGTTTTTTGCTGGTTGGATTTGTTTTGTTTGATGGTTTGTTTCTGTTTGTTTGATTGGGGTTTTTTTGTGGGGGTTTTTACACCCAAACTAAGGTAACAAGTAAGTGGATATGAGTAGTTCTATGTTTATCATTCTCAGTTGTGATTTATGAAGTTTTTAGTATATTTCACTTAGCTTTTCAAATGTGGCACTGGCTTTTTCTGCTCAAAATTATTTTGATTTTATGCTTGATGTGCCTAGAAAAACCTGTTAGTTGTATCTTGCTTTTGTACAGCCTTGTTTATTCTGTCTTTAGTTACATCTGATTTTATATTCTTCCTGAATTTTTTTATCAACATTGCAGTTCTGGTAACCTTTTGTCTCTGAGTTGGTGAAAAGATAGCAAAGTTGGTAATTTTCTACTCTGGTCCTAGCTTTCCCCTCTATTGAGTTAAGCTTTCATGTAATTCTCATAAAAAGATAATATCAAGGTTCTACAAACTCTGAAAAATTGAAAGATAATATACCTAGAAGTAAAAAGAAGTTAGATGATTAAAACATTTGGTATATTTGATTACATGGCCTCATGTTGCTTTCCTGCATTTCCTTGAGTTTTAGAGGGGCATGAGATGTGAATTCTTAAACTGGGTTTTCTCTTTGTGAATTCATGTGTTTGTTCCCCTTAAGATGACAGCCTCTTCTAAAGGTGCACTTTCAGAGTTGAATTGCCTCTCTTTTGATGTGTTCCAGGAACTTCCTAGAAAACAGGCTATTGTTACATAACTTTTCCAGGAGATAAGTGAACTGGCACGTGGAAGCATCTCTGATAAAGGTTCTTATAAAAACCTAAATTTAAAAATATCTGACTTGATTGCTCTTGTTACACAGTCAGCTGAATACATGTGCAGAACTTTCTGTATGTTTTAGGACCTCAGCAGCTTTGTTTCCTCTGGTTACAGAAAAAGCCTAAATACTTTTTTTTGTAAAGTAGCCCTAAACAGTATATTTCTTGTAATATAGTTTGCATTTCTGTTTGATGCAGTTTCAGTTAACTTAATTTAAACAAATGAGGTTGTAAACCCATAAAACCCAACAGACTGGACAGTTAAAAGCCTTGCAAAATGAACACATTTCACAAGTAGTATGAATGAACTGAATAGCATATGGAGGATTTCATACTGACTAAATAGGCTTTAATACCAGCAAATTTGTCTGCACTTTCAGTGCCCTGAAATATCATACATTTTTAGTTGGCATAAAAATATTACCTGACACAACTAGGAAGAAACTAGGTAGGGTGCTCAGATTTTTCCTCTTCTTTCCCTGCAAAACAGTGAGTGTGCTGAATTTCCAGCAACAACTTGTGATAAAACTTGGAAAAAAAGAGTTGTGGTGGAGGGATAGGTATGTCCTGAGCAGCTCTTGTAAGGATGGCTGGCTGCAACCTTTCACAAGTTCCCTAGAAGGAGAGATGGAGTGGGTGCTGTGAATAAGGATTTTGTGAGCATGTGCACACAAACATGTTTTTAGCCAGCCAAAGGAGACTGAGCCGTTGCAAGACAGATGTGCAGCTGATGTAACAAGCTGGGTGCTAATCCCTGGGAAAAATGTTTGAGATGAGATAGTAATATGTTGTTAAACAGTATCTGCACTCCAAAGTTTGCTGAGATAACACCCATAACCCGCAGGGTGCCCCATGCTGTAGTCTGTGGAACATGCCCACAGTCTGTGGGCACTACTGTTGACAAAACTCTCTGACAAAGCTACCATGTGAACAGCCCCATAGAGGGCTGCGCTGGTTGAACAAATTGGAGCTGATCTGGGGATTAAGACATGCTTTCCTGTTGTCATTACCAAAGCAACAGATACCTGTTTTCTTTTGTCCAAAGCTAAGCAAGCGGAAGTCATATGTGGCAGCTCTACCTAGTCCATTTACTTTGTGATGTGTTCTGACAACCTAATTGAAGGAGGTTCAGCTCAAGACATTTACTAACAGGCTTGTCAACACAAAGCTCTGGAGTGGGGCAGGGAATGGCTCACTTGAGCCACTCAAGTTCTTAGGTGAAGTGGTGGGGATGGATGCATTCCTCTGTGCTTTGCCAGCCCCCTTGCCCAAACACTGCTTGGGAAACAGTAGCAGCATGTGCCATAATGGCACTCTGTCTCTTGAGTTTTGAGGCTCCAGCAATCTTGTTTTTCTGAGCTATGTGTTTTTAGATTCCTTCTAGAATGGTTTGAAGGGTCACATTAAGCAGCATGCTTTTACTGAAATGTTGCTATCTTGGACTAAACAGTTAAAAGTTAGGTTTAAAACATGTGAAGCTTTTATCTTACTTAATGTGTATGTGACTTCATACAGAGTCATGTTGCCCAGTATATTTCAGTAGTTTTAGAAGTGTTGTTACATCTAAGTTAAGGAATAAAATCGGTGAAGCTAATCTTTGGAAACGGATATCTTCTCAACTAATACTTCGTTTTAATATCATTGCTGCTTGTAAACAAGTAGCCTTTTATTATACTCCATAGAGATGTGAGACTTTTTTCCTTGTGCATCTACACTCCTTCTTTTGTCATGTTCCACCTTGAAGTTCTTCAAAAACCCCCAAAACCTGAAACTTGAGTCATTGTTTTTACAGTAGAAGAGTGTCTTTTCTAAAAGACTTCCCATGTACACATACCCATTTTTAAGTTCAGTGTCTAAATTCTTGTTTATGGAAGAATAATCCTACTGGCATTTGACTTCACTGTTCACAGCAGTGCAAGCTTTACCCAGTTGAATTTGGCTTGTATATCACAGAGATGCTGATAAATGTGTTAACACTGTGAAGGGAGAGGGGGGTGTGCTTACTTTCTTCCTTTCTTTGTTAGTCTTTTGCTAATCACTCTGTATGCTAGACAGCATATTTCAAAGGACCAGGATGAACATTCCTCAGCTCTTTGTTTCAGGCTAAAATGTTGTAGTTGCCTATGGAGTGACAGAGTGTAAAAATGGGCTGAAGAATAGGAAGCAGTTGGTAGGAATTAGCAACAGCTACCATGGTAGCTTTCATTGGTTAAATTATCTTATTCTGTAAAACCAGACCTGGACTAATGGTATAATGAAGAAATGTATTTGCTTAGCTTCTTAAGGTCCCTCAAGTACTTTGTAATTAAGGTGAAGAAGACTTTTAAGAAAGTGTTTTAGTGAAACAATGTAATGCCATTTTTAAAAATTTTATGTTTTCCTAGTATAAACAAATTTCTGTTTCCTCCCTCATTGAGTAGTTTGGCAGGTGATACTTTTAGTGGCTGCTGTTTTTGGAATACTTAAACTCTTCCATTTTATAGTGTCAGCAGATAAAAGCTTAGATGGGCAAAGAGGAGTTTGTAGGTACCTGTCTGTCTATCCAGTTGTATTCTCTGGGTGTGGTGGTTTGGGAAATCCTTTCTTGGGTATGTGGGATTGCAATATTTCGTACTCTGCAGTACAAGTAACTAAGATAGGATGGTACATTTTGGGTTAGAATATTTTGATCTCTGCTTCCTAGTTCTGTTTCCAGCAGTTATTTTTGATTTGTGCAGTTTGGAATTATTTGTTGACATCTGATGTTTTCTGATGTTCAGAAGCCAAGATGCAGCACTCAGTAGAATTGTCTGTAGCTGACACCTGTTTGCATACAAGCACAAAAAGCTTGAGTACTGCCTTGGAGGATGTGACAGATATGCAGGTGCAGCACCAAGTGGAGCATTCTTACAGTGGGGGCTGCTTTTCAGACGCAGATTTCCTTGTCAGATGGAAAGAAGATGCCTCCTCACTGAACCTTTTTTTCCATCTTACTGCTTTTATGAAATTATGTGCAAACACATGCCAAAAGTGTGGCAGGTGGTTTGTTTTTTAAAACAGGTATATTTTTCAGAAAGATGAGAAAGGAGAGGCTAATTTTGAAGCAAACTTTTCCCCCCTCATTTGGATTTTAAAGTAATCTTTTCATAGTAGAAAGTGGAAACTATTCTCATTGTTTTAAAGAACCCCCTTCCACACATTAAAAGAGCTGCTGCTGATAAAAACCTGCGTTCATATATGTTCTGCCAAGGAGACAAATATAAAGTGACAAAAGCCAGTGTAGCCTTTGCTGTCTGCTGACTGAAGCTAGTAACTCTTTTGTGAGTTCAGCTTTGGCCTACCACTACTGCCTTAATACTGTTTAATACTGGACTGTTCACTTTGAGTACACTTGTAACGTTGGCTGTGTGTTTAAATCTTTACAGGCATTTTAGCTTATTTTAGGTGTCTGTTTTCATCCATATAACTTACAGCCAAGGTATAATCAACCTTGACCTGTATTAATGTTAAGAATTTTTAATTTCATTCAAGTTGGTTTTTTTTAAATCAAAAGCTAGCTGAGAATGTCAGCCAGAAACTTGGAACTTGAATTTTTGTCCCATTACGCAGCCTGCTGCCTGCCTTTCATGTCTTCCCCCTTGCCCTAGGTGTCAGGACCCTGCTATTCTGCTAGAGGTGACAATTGGATGAAATGGATGGTTCTGCAGTCCAGTTCTGTCTCTATTCTAATGCTGTCATATCGCTTAAAAATCTGAAGTTGTGTGCCTCTACTGTCAGAGCAACTCTCCTCTCTGCCTCTCTTGCCTCCCACCTCAAAGTAGGGACAGGAACATCCCCTCCTGAGGCTCTCATAGAGTCACAGAGGAAGTAAAGATGTCAGCTGTCAAATCTTATGACAGCTATGTGATTCTTCTAGGAAATTAATTTAAAAGAGAACTTGAGTCGTGGGATAGTCAATCTGTTGCTTATTTGTGCAAAAAACAACTCCCAGAATATGGAAATAAACTGATAGAAAGTTTTTCTAACAGTGAAAATATTTCTGGCACCACACCAGTTTTCAGGGAATCAAATTACAGAGCTGTCTTATGAACTGCATATACATATTTCTGTCTGTAGTGCCACAGCTCTGAGGGCCTATGGACTTCACCCTTTTCACTGTGGACGGTTGTGTCCAAAACCTGCTGGAGTGACCATCCATCTTCTCAGTTCTGCTCCTTTCTTTCTCTCCTTTAAAAAAACCCCAAACCTTCATGTAAACAGAATCCTGGTAGGCTTTTGTGTTCCCAAGTTAAAAACCTGTGTCGGAGGACACCTAGTGGGGAAGCTCTGGGATGGAGGGAGGGTTGCTCCAAGGTGGTGACAGTCTGTGGGCTCTGGGTGTGCGTGTGTGTAGTAAATAGAAAGGCCTTTTCTTCCTGGGGGCAAGACCTGTCTGCAAAGTCTTGAGGAAAGACTCAGACTGCCCAGACTCATCCTCTGAAGAGAACTGGGTGACAGTAGTAACATATCAGAGCTGCAGGTCACTGCTATTCTAAAACCATCGAGGTGTTTTTGTTCTTGAATTGTTTTAGTCAGTTTCATAATTTGGTTATTTTACAGTTACCAGAAGTTATCTTCAGATAGCACAGAATATTCAGGGTTTTATTTCTGACTGAAGCTGAGGGCTGAAGGTCCCAGCACCACGGAGGAGCTGGTATTCCTACTGAGGCTGACATTTTGCAAAAGGTGCTCTGGAAGAGACAAAAAAGGTGGGAGTGGTGGGGAGATGAAAGGCCATATAAACTTTCTGTCACAACAAGAGTTGGTTTGAGTTTTTGTTTGGGGCTGAGTGGGGCGATAAGAGCAGGAAGGCAAAGAATGGAGCATTCAGAGAATGATACAGCTTTATCTGCAGTTTCTGTGTTGTATTAGTGCATTTCTGTCCCTGAATACTCTTCTCTCTTTGTTCAAGCATTCCTATTCTCATCCCCTTGTCTGCTCTTTTTTTCCAGCTGGTATTTTTTTCCTCTACTTCCTTTATGTAATCCCCTTGTAGCCTTTCTGTTTCTTTTTGTTTTCTCCCTAGAATGGGCAAGATATTGCCTGTGCTACAGTGTTATTGTGTCCTTCCCCACTGCCCTTAGTTCTTGTACTCTTTGTTGCAAGTTCTCGAAGATTCACTGTTTGTTCACCTCCTATACTAGCATGGTGAAGCTTTGGTCATTAAATGTTCCCGTAGTAAATATACAGTAGGAGTTCTATTGACATTAATTTGTATTCATCAATGAGAGTTTGCTGCTGCAATTTCTTTGCCAGTCAAAGCTATGGTTTGCTCCAGGATGCATATTGTTTCTCACTTACAGGTTTTTATTCAGCTTTGACTGTGACCAGAGTCTCTGAATAGTTACCATAAAAAAATTTTAAAAAAAACCAACCAAAATAATTTAACAACCACCCCACCCCTCCTGCAAAACAGTACAGATAAATACCTCCAGAAGTGAAAAGGAAAATATAGGGGAAGGAAAGTGTCCAGCTGTTTTCTTAAGGCTTATTTTCAATTAAAAAGCCCAAACTAACACACCTGTTCTAGCAGGCCTTATAGACTAGCAAGCAGCATATTCTCATTGTACCGTAGTTATTGTGGCTTAAGCACCCTGTTTCACTGCCTTGCTTCCTACTGGTTTTATTAGTTGTGTAGTGATAGGAAAGTTCTTGCAACTCTGCTGTTAGTGACTTGCAGAGGAAGATTTGAGCAGCATTGCCAACAGTTACAGGTGCTGGGGAAAAATATATTCATTCTTAATTTTGGTATAACTTGTTTTAGATTTTCTTTCCTTACTGTGATTTTTGATAATAAATTTGTCATCACTGTCTCTGTTGTAGTTTTGCCAATTTGAGAATTCACCCTCATGGATTAGTGCTGGTGGATCTGCAGAGCTACAATGATGACGTGAAAGGAAGAGAAGAAGTTGATCAGGTATGGGTGCTGCTTACCTTACTAGGATTACCTAATTGTATGGGGAGTCCCTTTTTTTTCAGGTCTATCAAAATCTATTGTGGTAAAAGATTAAAAATATTAAAGTCAGTTGTGCACACATGAATGTATGAATGCATGAATGCACATACTCTTCAGCAAGTACTGGGCCTCATGTTCTTTGTAAAAGTTGTCAAGATATATACAGCAGGCTTGGTTAGGGCTTGGGTCTCTTCAGCTACTTAGGGCAGTGAAGGAGGACATGAGATGCTCAGTTTGCAGCCTGCTATATTAGTGTGAGACTTCTTTGTATTCTCTGTTCTGAGAGATGAGGAGCCTCCATATTCAATCTTTTGCCCCATGGGGAAAAAGAACTTCATCTTCCCTGGCATGAAGGCTCTGGACATTTGAATATTGCAGGGAAAGAGGCCACTGTTGTAGCAGGAATGGAACTTTAAAGGGTTCTCATGTTACCTCTGGCTGTGTTATCTTGAACAGCTAAATGCAGTGATGACAGCTGCTGAAATGTGCACATTCCTGCTAGTAACAAGGCTGAGGAGGCCAGCTAGTTATTCATGGGCTTCTGGTGCTCCATTTCAAAGCCTTTTCATAGCATGTGCTATGTTTTATTGACTTCCAGGTAGAGTATTTTAACAGATATTTTGCATTAAGTGCTGATCTACAAATTCTACCTCTCCTTTGCTATTTTTTTCAGCTTTTAAACAAAGTAGAAGAAAGAATGAAAGAATTGTTTCATAGTAACATAAAAAGGGTGAAACGGTAAGTTTGTACCTCTGCTTCTGTATATGGCTTGTCTGCCTAGTTACTAGAGATAATAAGCAAGTTATGCTTTGCTGTAATGCAGTGAATAGCCTGGAGTATGAAGGGTATGGAAGGGATATTTTTTTTAGTTTCTTGAGATGATTGCATGAAATAGTGAGAGAAGATGTAATGTGGAAGCAGGAGCAGACTGCTCTGAAAGGGCTGGGCAGCCAGGGGTGGCAGAGGAATAGGTCGGGGCATAAACTGTACCCTATGGGCCACATCACACAGCTCATGGAGAAGGTGAGCTGATGATGGTGCCCAGGGTCAGACCCAGCCCTGTGGCTGGCTGTAGTGCTGAGGCATCTCTGAGCACGAGCTGGGTGTCAAGGATTGGCAAAAGACTTGGGTGGGTGGGAATAGAGCTGCAGTGCAGCTCTGGCACATGGACCAGGGGTGAGGATTAGAGCTAAAATGGAGCTCAAGTCCATAGAGAAGACTTTGTCCTGACAAGGTTTCCTGTAGCTCTTTTTCATATCTCTGCCTCTGCTGTGTTTCATGGTGCTCACTGTGGGCATGTGTGGTTTAGGGACCTGCCAAGAAGATAGATATGTTTTGTAGCAAATCTTTATAATTAGACTTAAGGATGGAGACTTTGTAAGCCCTTTGTCAGCTTGGATTATTTAAGCCTATGTGTTAAAATTTAAGGACTCAAATTACAGTTCATGGCCTGGTGCTGAAATAACTTTGATACTAGACATAGTTTGTTGTCTTTGTGGTGGCTGTCTGGCAGTGACTGATACCTTGAAGCCAGGGAGCACTTACTGTAGGCATGGACATGGTAGAAAGTGCAGCAGGTACTTGAAGGAACATAGAAGTGAAAACGGGTCAAGAAAAGTAAAAAGCAAGTGTGAAATCAACAAGGTTTAGTAAAGCCAAGGAGCAAATGTTTTTTTTCCCATACAAAATGGGAAAACATTTAAGCAGTACTCTGGCAGACAGTAGATATGAAGGTTATGAGAGACCACAAGTAAAATGGTAGTAATTTGAAAAGTGATATTATACTTGCATATTGGTATTTCTGTTTTACAATTGTATGTAAAACAGAATAGTTATCTTACTTCAACCTAGTAAAACCTCACAAAAGGTGTGCAGTGTATGAACATTGATGATCTTGCATCTGTGCTTATGGAGGAGAAGCTTTCTGAGGCTGTTTTGGTACTGAAATGATAGAGGGAGTTTGTGGAATCCCTGTGATAGGAATTTCTTAACAACAGGTCAGGATAACATCTGCATGGAGTGGTCTAGTTCCTTTGGTTACCTTAGTATAGGAAGATGAACCTCCTAGAACGGTGCATCTAGCATGGATCTTGTCACATGCTTCTCATTGTCTTTTTTTTCCTTGTTTTTGGTTTGTGTGGTTTGTTTTGTTGGGTGGTTTTTTGTTTGGTTTTTGGGTTCTTTTAATTTGTTTTGCATCGTTTTGGTGTCAGCTGCACACATGCAGCTGCAGTAGGATGAACGTAGCTGGAGAAGCTTTTCATGCCTTTTTGTTGCAGTAAGGCAGGGTTGCTCTTGCTCCCACCTTGTGCCGCCATCTGGCGGCTCGCTGGGGGTAGGAAGCGTTTCTGGAATGTTGCTCGGGAATCGCTAAAGAATTAAGCTTGTCTGTGTCTGGTCTTCTGCTACAGCCTTCTGGAAAAAAAACCCAGCCCTTTAATTCTTTGAAGTGTGTGTGGGAGATCTGATGAACTCTGTGCCTGCACATTTTGCCTAAAGGCAGTCCCTTTGATTGTTTGCTGTCATTTCAAAGATAGTGTCTTTACAGGTGAAATACTGGTTTGAACCAAGGTGCATCTCAATGGAATTAAAAAAGAAAGCCTAAAACCCACAAACAACAAGCCCAAAACAATCTCAGCAGATTACTTTTTAAAAGTAATGCAGACTATCAACTGATATCAAGGACTGTGCTTATGTACTTCAGGCTGACCCAGCTCAGTTTGAAATACTGTAATGGTTCTGTTTTTGTTTTTCTGTGTATTAAAATGTGTTTCACTGTAGCCTCAGAGTGAGATCCACTTAATCTCAGCGAAACGGCATTCTTAAATGAACTGAAGATGGGAAGAGGTTTTGTCATGTTTGTTGGCCTACAATAACACTACAGTATTGTATTAATTTTTAGTCACGAGCTGATTCTACTACGGAGGCTCATACATTATGTAAATTCCCCCTCTTAGAATAGAAGGAAGTTCACAGGTACATTGTAGAAGTTATACATAAAAAAGAACCATGTATGTTATCTGTCTCTTAGCAAGTTGTGTATTTAACATATGACTAGTATATTTCTTATAATTATGAAGTATTAAATATGGCAAGTTTTCTCAGATGCCTCTTGTAAATATTATTTATTATGGTGAATCCACAGTATGTTTAAAGTGGATTTTTTTAATAAATATTCCACGTATTTGTAATCTTCTTTCATATTATTTTTCTCTAGGTTGCCAGCGATTTTGAGAGGAGGTGTCATTGACAGATACTGGCCCACAGCTGATGGGCGCCTGGTGGAATATGACATAGATGAAGTTGTTTATGATGAAGAGTCACCTTTTCAGAATATTAAAATTCTGCATTCAAAACAATTTGGGAATATTCTTATTCTCAGTGGGGATGTTAGTAAGTATCATCTCATTTAAAGATCTCTGGTGTGAAAATGCCGAAAGTGTTTTTTTCTATCCTGCTATGGGAGTTTTAATAGACGTCTAAGGGTCGTGGTTCAGATGCTGGAAGCTGTTTTTGCAAGTACAGTTTTATCTGTTCCTGTATATTAATGATGTTAATCAGGCTGACCAGTGTAAAATCTAGAGTTAAAAAAAAAAAATAAAGATTTATTTTTCCAGATTTAGTATCTTTGCTGCAGGAAGTGAGTGGCCTGGGAGAATAGAAGATGGTGTTCTATAGCAGAGCTTGCTTTCCTGAATTCTTTTATATGAACTTTTCTCTGTTTGTTGCCAGTCCAACTTTCTGAGAGCTTCTCTTGGACAGTAAAACAAGCTACTTTGTAAGTCTTCAAATCACAATGGAATTCTAAAGAAATATGAAGTGGGACCTAGTGTGTCTGTGTATGATACAGCTGTGTTATACCTCACCATGCAGGAAATTCCATTAGAGAATCAAGGGAGCAGCAGGCATTTTAGCTGCTTTATTGGTGAATGTCTTTTGACTCCTTCAAAATAGTAGAACTTGAACTCTTAAGTTAATCAAAATAGTGACCAAACTTTATATGAGGGTTTTTATATGTGGTACTTTATGCCTGCTGACCTTTGTATTTTTCAAAGTGAACTTGGGAGAAGGTGGACTACTGTTCTTGAAAGCTGGAGACTGCTGCTTGCTGGAAAATCTAGGCAATAAAAGGACTATGCTTTAAAAAATCTTAGTTCTTACGTTGAAAAGGACTGTCTCTGGTAAATGAAGGACATTGCTGCCCAGGAATAGAATGCCTATCTTCACTCTAATGGCAGAGTAATTAAGAAATTGAAATACAGCTTTTTGAAATCATTGCAAGTACCTCTAACAATTCAATTAGCTTTCTCCGACTGTCAAGAGGGCTCCTGTGCAGATGGCAGCTGAAAAACACTGTTATTGAATTCATTAGCAAGGTATTTTCTAATCCAGATAGAATTGTATTAGAAATCATCAAATTCAGTATTCAATACTTCTAGCCAGAAATTTTCATCAGCGCTTAATATGGAGATGAGGTTTTGCTTGAACATGACAATGTGCTTTGTAGAAGGGAAAGTATGCCATTACTTATTTCCCTTCCATGGGATTTTGAAATAATGGTTTGTCTCATCTTGTTATTGTGCACTCCTAAATGAGGTGGTGATTGCCAGGCAGAGTGACAGGATATGCCACAATGTGCTGCTGCACAAAGCTCGGCCCTTGTAGTGCAGATCTGTTGTAGCTTGGGAGTGTTACTGCATGCTTTGAGGCTGGCAGCAGGCAAGCAGGGCCCTTCAGCACCTGGGGTTAACATTCATGTTTGTTTCTGTGCAGGGATCCACTGGTGTGCATCTAGGTAGCTCTTTCTAGCTGGGGTCCACAATAGATTTCCAGAAAATTCTAAATCTGTCCTCTTGCAGGATGAGTCTGAGATAAAAACCCACTGAAGTAACAAGTGTGGGCATTAAGTTAAAAAGACTTGATGGTTTTGCTCTGCTACTTTTTCCCTTGGCACACAGTACTTCCTAATGCTGAGGTGGCTGTTGCTGGGTTCATGTGGAGAACTGGAGAAATCCTGTGTGGGATTCTGAGAAGAATGTCATTACTTGGACTGTCTGTGAGAGACAGCTTGTTTCTGTAGATGTACTTGCTTTGATCTGTATTGTATCACCTCGGGGTTAATACCACTTAATGAGAAAAACTGAAGATTTAATATTTCTGTCCAATTCTCTTTTCCTTCTGTCCAGATCTGGCAGAAAGTGACCTGGCATATACTCAAGCCATAATGGGCAGTGGAAAGGAAGATTACACTGGGAAAGAAGTGCTAATCCTAGGAGGTGGTGATGGAGGTATACTATATGAGATAGTCAAACTGAAGCCAAAGATGGTTACTATGGTAGAGATATCCTTTGACAAATGGCCCATAATGCAGATCAACCTGACCTTTCTGCTGATTCCTTATACTGAGCACAGTTACTGTCATGTTCTGATTTGTATGTAGGATATGAGGTCTAAAATGAAATCCTTTTGTCAGCTTGAGAGAGACCCAGTGACTAGATATTTGTGCATCATTATGCAACACCTGCTTTCAGGTTCCCAATCCGTACCATAACTCTCAGTAGTCGTTTATGTAAGGCTGGAAAGGAATGCCTCTGTCATCAGACTGGTGCATTCTCTAATAACAGAAGACAGGTCTGTCAACTTGGTGGTTTGGGCTCACTTCTGCCTTCTTGAGTTTGTCTGTTTTCCTAAAGAAAGCTGTAAAAAAAATAATAGTGCCTAGAAGCAAAAAAAATTAATCAATAGGAATGTCAGGACTTGATGAACTGTACTGATGAATTGACCAGCCCTGTTCTAAAAATACCAATACAAATCAAGTTTTCAACATTCTGTAGTTTGTACAGTTTGCAGCATAAACCACTGTTGACCATATGAAATGTTGATCATCCTAGGGATTGGGATCTATTGGCTAAGACTAAAAATGTAGGTTAAAATCTTAACCTAGTTGAACTTCATGGAGTCTTCCATAGTTTTACAGTTCACATTTCAGGCTTTCATGGTAATGCTGACTGAAGGTATCAAAAACACTGGTTACAACCAAAAATAATCACTTCATAATCATCTAATTGAATCTGGAGGCCAGTGCCTGAGGTTGACTATTGCAGTATATATACCAATAGACACATCTAATTATTTTTTTGTGAAGAAGTAGAAACTCTTACCTGTATTATTTCTGGAATGTATTGTGCCTTGACAAGCTTCAAACATTGACCAAATGGTGATTGACGGGTGTAAAAAACACATGCGTAAAACGTGCGGAGATGTCTTAGACAATCTGAAAGGAGAGTGCTACCAGGTAATGTATTGGTTTTCTTTCATTACAAGTTATATTTCAAGTAGGACCTAGTCTGGAAGACTTGCTACGGCAAAGTTTTGGGGACAAGTCTTTAGACTCAAGTTTGGGGAGCTACTTTTCCTTTTGTATGACACTTGCATATTTTAATAACGAGTTCATGTTGGAAGTATTTTAACTCTCTGGCTTCAGACTTCTAAAATTAATTGCATATGTAGATTTTAAGGGATTTGAAATAGGAGAATGTTTGCTGTAACTTTAGAAATAAAGAAGAGATTGCAGTAAAAATGTTATGTTTAGCTTCATTTCTTAAACTGTTAAAAAGATAGAAAAAATATGTATTTTAGTTGTTCTATACTGTTGAAAATACCTGAACTTGTAATACACATTTAACAATTATTTTTAATTTGCAGGCAAAATCCCTTAGTATTGCACTGCTATTATATTAAGATAAAAACTCCAACAGACATCATTCATCCCTGCAGTTGAGATCCTTGTGCTGCATCTGACAGCACTTACAAATGAGCCCAGGTGTAATCTGACATGTTTCTATTTTCATTACTGGCCCTTAGATGTTGTCACAGATATTAACTTCCAGGAGTGAGCTAATAAAAACACAAAAAAAAATTAACAGAAGTCACATGCTACTCTGTGGAAATCAGTACTTCATACAAGTACTTTATTTTACTCATATGTTGGAACTGCTAACTGTTGTCAATATTTGTTATGAAGAACACTGGTTACAGATCTAGGAACTTTAGTCCTGGAGTGCCTGTGTTTTCATTGTCATAATTCCTACAAAGTTCCTCCCTTCTAATTGATGAAAAAAATTGAAAGTGGAGCCTAAAATTAAGCATGTAAATAATTTTGTGATTTTGTAATAATTTTGTAAATTTTTTTAACCCTCTTAATTTCTGTGAATCTGTATTTGTTCTTTTTACCTGGTCAGCTTTAGGGTAGTTTTAGGACTAGCAACAGTAATTCATTCTTACAGGTTCTAATTGAAGACTGTATTCCTGTACTGAAGAGGTATGCCAAAGAAGGAAGAATGTTTGATTATGTAATTAATGATCTGACAGCTGTTCCAATCTCCACATCTCCAGAAGAAGGTAAATCTTCTAATTTATTTACTTCTGAAAATTTTCAACGTTTGTCCTTTTGCTGCATAATAGTCTGCAGCATAAGTGCTTTCATTTTTTCCATTTAAAAAGCAAATCTGAGAGGAAAAAATGACATCTGTTTTTTAAATTTTTATTTAATATTATAAAAGACTAGCAAGTGCCTAATGTTCTTTTAAATCTCTTATTCCAGAATAATATGAACTCATGTAGTTCTTGAAGTATTTGGAGTTCATGCTCCAGTAAATTTTCCTCACTACATAATTTATTGGAAACTTCAGGAAAATTCCTGTGAAGAAAAACAATACTCCTGCCATCGTTGCCATTGTGTATGGTTTGCATTTGTTTTTTTAGTCCAGGATTTTTTTTTAAACTTTGCAAGTCTTGAATATGTAATAAGTAAACAAGCCAATAATGTGCTGTTCTGCTTTTCAACCCTTTCCCATATGCAGATTCCACATGGGAATTTCTGCGGTTGATTCTTGACCTCTCCATGAAAGTCCTGAAACAAGATGGAAAATACTTCACACAGGTACGATACTTGGATGTAATAGAGTACTGCTTTATATCTATTGCAATTTGCATATTTTCAGTTAAAAAAAAAAAGATAAAGCTAACTAAAAAGCTACTTCAAGCTGGTTTTCTCCCTTTGACTTACCAGGCGTTTTGCATGAAAGTTAGGATTTTCTAACTGACTTGTCTGTTTTCATTATTTCAGCTGAATTTGTAGTACTTTTGTTTGGAGTTCAAAAGCATAATTTTAAGACTCAGTAAGGCATACTGGAGAATATTGCAGCTAGACATTTCTTGGAAAAGCAGAACTGATGTACTTCATGATGAGATACATGATTTTGAAGCTAGTGTCTCCAGTGGTAAAGTGTAAAACATGGAAATTTGTCATTTATTAAGGTGTAAGAGTTCGACATAAGTGCAGTGGGATGAGAAAATTAGTATAGCCACCTTGTAGATAATAAAATTGTGGTATAGCTTTGAACAGAAAATACTTCAGGTCATCCTGAATGCCACAAAGTTGTGTCAAATTGTACAAGAATGTGACTGGAGCCAGCAGATGGTTCAGTGAAGTCTAAGTCTCTGAAGCTCTATTTCTTTTGTCATGCTCATAAACTAGTCTTCTGATGTGTGGAGAATCTAAGTACTGTATTTTAGAATAATATCCTTAAGCTCTGAAATGTATAGAAATTGGTTTACTGTAGAATTGTTTAGGCTTATAAAAAGATATGAAACTTGTGGGGTGAGATTTCTGGCAGTTCTAATATGCTGCTCCATTTTAAAATGCTCTGGTTGTATGGGAAAAAGAAATTAACTTATGGTTGAAATACAACATGTGATTAACATGTTTTTTCCACACTGTAAATTTTAATGGCATTTCTGTCCTGTTAATAGTGGAAATATTTGTGACAGACTTTGAAACCAAAAGGACACTAAATGTTTTGGAAACAGAACAAATCGTTGTGTTGCAGTTGTTGTACTTGCAGCATCCACAGTAATACTAGCTCGCCTTATTGGAATGAAGGTGAATGTATGTCTGGGGACAGGTTTTGTTGGACTTTGCAGAAGGATTCTTGAGAATAAGCCTGTGCTGAAAGCTGAACTGAGGCTGTGCTGCAGCCAGAGGGCAGGACGGTTCTGTGTTAGCTGCAACCAGCTGAGGTAGAGTCTGGTGCAGAGGAGGAGGAGATTCATCAGCTCTCCAGCATGTGATTGCACAGAAAGAACAGCTGTCCTGGTGGGTTTTAGCTGTTGTGGAAGTACACACATTTTGTGGTCCCAAAGCAACAAGGTGGTATATGGCAGGATGGGAAAGGAGCAATATTAAAATTGACGTGTCTTAAAATTGGACTTAGGGCTAACGAGTAGTCAGTGCAAGGGCTGGAGTATAGAAGCAGTGTTCTCTAGCAATTTTGTCTTCCTGAAGATGTTGAAAAAAGGACAATTAATACTGGGGCAGGTAGCTATCAGAGCTTTTGATATGTCTATTGATACACTACTCAGCCCATTTGATGGTCCTTGTAGCCACTTCCCAGCTGGGCCTGAAAAAACAAAGTAGTCCTCTGTAAAAACCCTCTCTATTTGTTTGTGTGTCCTTAGAAGGCTACACTAAAAGGTTATCATAATGTAAAACATACTGACCTCCTCCTCAGATGTGCAGACCCCCAGAGTGTTAAATTCGAAGTCAATAATTTGAGGTCAGCTTGGTTTGCCCCCAAGCAAAACTGCATTTAACTCATCCTGAATAATGCTCACAACTACTGCTATTCTCAAATTATAAATAAATTAAAAAAACAAGAATGGTCAAAATAATAACTGGAAAAATTTATCCCAACAACAGACAGCACTGAGCTTAAAACATTATAGTTGAACATTAAAACTTGGCAGGACAGAGGCTTTTCTTCTATCCCTGTGACAAAGTTTCTCACTTCTCTCTCTGTTCAAGCTTCTCATTGGATTACAGCTTTTCAGCTGTATGTGTGGCCAGGTTTTGGTAGTGGGGGGTGTGGGGAGCAGTCCCCATGTCCAACAAGCCAATGCCAGCTGGCTTCAGGATGGACCTGCTCCTGGCCAAGGCTGAACCCATCAGTGACTGTGGTAGTGCCTCTGGGATAAGATTTTTGAAGGGGCAAAAGTTGCTGCACTACTGCAGTTGCAGCCAGATAGAGAAGTGAGAACCTGTGAGAGAAACAGGTCTGCAGGCTCCAAGGTCGGTGGAGAAGGAGAAGCAGGAGATGCTCCAGGTACCCGTGCAGAGATTCCCCTGCAGCCCATGATAAAGGCCATGGTATAGCAGGCTGTGCTCCTGCAGCCCATGTAACTCCACAGGGGAGCAGAGATCCACCTGTAGCCTGTGGAGCACCCCATGGTGGAGCTTGTGGATGGATACCTGAAGGAGGCTGTGACCTTATGGGAAACCCACACGAGAGCAGGCTTCCTGGCAGAACTTGTGACCTTGCAGGGGACCCGTGGAACAATTAATGAAAAACTGCAGCCTATGGATGAACTCAGGCTGGAGAAGTTCATAGGGGGATGTTGGGGTTCAAGCAAGGCTGGTACCCTGGCTGGAGCCAGCACGGCAGCTATTCCCAGCTGCTCGGTCCATATCCCACTGCATCAATGCGATGGATGGCAAAAATGGCGTTTATTGCAGGGGAATTTAGCATTTTATAGCCTGGGGTCACTGTGTTACTCCCATCTGCTTACATCACACCTGGGTGCTATTGGCTAATTGCAGAAGGTTTTACTGTCTTAACAGAGAGGGGTTTTTGCTAACTTTCCGTTACATCCTGAAATCTTCTGCATCGCCAGGCCTTAAACTACAGCAGGGAGAGACCCCACACTGGAGCAGAGCGGAGTGTGAGGAGGAAGGAACAGCAAAAATAACATGGGATGAACTGACCACAATTCCCATTTCCCATCCCCCATTAGTGCAGTGGGGAAGAGAGAGAGAATTTGTGAGTAAAGTTCACCCTGAGGAGAAAAGAGGGGTAGGGGAAGGTGTTGTTAAAATTTGGGTTTATTTCTTATTATCCCACTCTGATTTGATGGGGAAATTGAGTTTATTACCCAGGTTGAGTCTGTTTGCCTCTGACGGTAGCTGGTGAGTGTTCTCTCCCCATCCTTATCTAGGCCCGTGAGCCTTTTGCTGCATTTTCTCTCCTCAGTTCAGCTGAGCAGGGGAGTGACAGCATGATTTTTGTGGGCACTTGGTGTCCAGCTGGGGTCAACCCACCACACTCTGACAACTCAACAGCCTGGTCATAGGATGAACAGACTATTGGGATTCTTTAAATAAAATTAACCTATTAGTTATTACAACTTTGTTTAAATTACATAAATTTCATTCAGTTAAACTAGCTGAAGCTGGCTACTTGGACGATTGGTTAGACTAGAGACAGAAGTTCAAACATGACCACTAACAACTTTGTGAGCTTAGTCACATTGGGAGCTCATGAAAGATTTTGAGTGTTTGGCGAGTTGAGTTGTGTGCCAGTGGTTTTAGGTCTGTGTATTAACACTGGGAATTGAAGTTACTTCTGGTCCAACTATCTACTTCCAGGATGTTTGTTACATAGCATGCCTTGCTGAAGAAATCATGTGCCTTTTAAGGCAGATGTATTTTTAAAATGCAGTACTCTTGTGTGTCCCCCACCCCTTCTTTGCATTGTGGTTCTCTAAAACAAAACTATTAAATATCATCAAGAAAAGTGACTGAGGGGATGGCCACTTACTTGTTAGAGCCTCATCTTTGCTATGATGAAGAAATGTCTCATGGGAAAAATGCAGCAAAAGGATTGTTGTCCTGGTGACTACTAGCCAGCAATTATAGTTGCCACTTTTGCCTCTGTGTTATGTTGTACTGAGATTGAAAATTCTGTCCTTTGTAGTTTGTAGTCTGTCCCCTTGCACCCTGAACAGAATCATGTACATCTAGTTAGGATGTCATTTATTTCAGTGCTGAAGAAATGCTTTACCCAAAAGTGGAATCATGTTCACAGAATGCTGTCCATTCCCATACTGTATTGCTGCCTGTCTGTCTAAATGCCACTGCTGGGGGAAAATAAAGGGAAATTCTCATCACCTCTTCATTGAGCTCTGCACAAATTTCAGAAAATGTTCTGATCTGCATGTGAATTGTCAGCAGGCAGTGTCTAGTGCTGTCTAACTCCAGATGGATATAATTTATTTGAGATTATAAAAGAATTATTTCTGTCATGCTGCTCTAACACACCTGGTGGTTCCCTCGGAATTCCTTCCTTGGTGATCCTCAAAGTGCTCTCTAAATCCTGCTGCAGAATGTCTTGTCACCACTTGGTGGAGGCAGGTAACCAGTATTGCCTGGCAGGTTATTAACATTTATAGAGATTCTGCCTGTGCACTTTTCAGACCATTTATTTGTATTCCTATGGGATATAAGAACTCATGTGGCCAATTTTAAGATGCAGGAGGGACTTCTTCCTTTTTTTCAGCTTTGGGAAGATATAAAAGGGCAGCTAATGGATGTCATTCTCTGTTGCTTTATGTCTGAGTGTGTTTGGGGAAAAATGCCTCGATACTTTCTCTGTGCAAATAGTAATCACAGCTTAGAACAAAAACTTGTATGAGTAGCAGCCGTGCTTTACGTGCCCTTGCTTTTCCAGCTGCATCATCCATGTTGAGTGTTGCAGCCTACACAGGATCTGCAAAGAGAGACATGAGCTTTAGGGCCCTTAGTCTGCAGAACTTGCAGACCTGTCTGTGGGTTTAAGACTTGAAGCTTGTTTGTCAAAACTTACTGTTAAACATAATCCCACTGCTCTGAGATTCAGTGGTCATATGGGATGCTCTTATTTTTGTTCTTCTGAAGCTGGTGCTCTGAAGTGTTTAATGATATGATATCATATGAGGCCATGTCTGTAAGGTGCTTGGTGTTACGTTCTCCAAGGAGAGACAGTTAGAGGTGCAGGCTCCCAGCCATCACAGTGGAGATGCATGGGAATTAATGAGGACGCAAGACCTTGGTATATTCTGAGGTCCACT